CCTGACCTCTGTGCCAGGGAAGGTCATGGAGCAGATCATCTTGAGTGTCCTTACACAGCACATGCGGGACAATCAGGTGATCAGGCCGAGCCAGCATGGGTTCATGAAGGGAAGGTCCTGCTTGACCAACCTGATCTCCTTCTACAACAAGGTGACCCGCTTAGTGGATGAGGGAAAGGCGGTGGATGTTGTCTACCTGGACTTTAGTAAGGCCTTTGACACTGTCTCCCGCAGCATTCTCCTGGAGAAGCTGGCTGCTCACAGCTTGGATAAGTGCACTCTGTGCTGGGTGAAAAACTGGCTGGATGGCCGAGCCCAGAGAGTGGTGGTGAATGGAGTCAAATCCAGTTGTCGGCCGGTCACGAGTGGTGTTCCCCCGGCTCAGTACTGGGGCCGGTCCTCTTCGATATCTTCATCAATGATCTGGATGATGGGATTGAGTGCACCCTCAGTAAGTTTGCAGATGACACCAAGTTGGGCGGGAGTGTTGATCTGCTGGAGGGTAGGAAGACTCTACAGAGGGACCTGGACAGGCTGGATCAATGGGCCGAGGCCAACTGTATGAGGTTCAACAAGGCTCAGTGCTGGGTCCTGCACTTGGGTCACAACAACCCCATGCAACTCTACAGGCTTGAGGAGGAGTGGCTGGGGAGCTGCCTGGTGGAAAAGGACCTGGGGGTGTTGGTTGACAGCCGCCTGAACATGAGCCAGCAATGTGCCCAGGTTGGAGGTGCTGGAGCATGTCCAAAGAAGGGCAATGAAGCTGGTGAAGAGTCTGGAGCACAGGTCTTACAAGGAGCGGCTGAGGGAGCTGGGGTTGTTTAGTCAGGAGAAGAGGAGGCTGAGGGGAGACCTTATTGCTCTCTACAGCTACCTGCAAGGAGTTTGTAGCGAGGTGGGGGTCTGTCTCTTCTCCCAAGTAACAAGTGATAGGACAAGAGGAAACAGTGTCAAGCTGCACCAGGGGAGATTTAAATTGGATATTAGGAAGAATTTCTTTGTGGAGAGGGTGGTTAGGCACTGGAACAAACTGCCCAGGGAAGTGGTACAATCACAGTCCCTGGAAGTATTCAAAAAGTGTGTGGATGTGGTGCTTGAGGACATGGTTTAGAGGTGGACCAGGCAGTTAGGCTAACAGGTTCGACTCTATGATCTCAGAGGTCTTTACCAACCTTAACAATTTTATAAGTATTGTTTGTGCTAACAGTATGGTCAAGTACTTAGGTATAACCATGACAAACAGACTTCAGCCTTTTCAGGAGCTTCTACTGTCCCAGTGCATTAATTAATAAAGTTACAATGATGCTTTCTACCTGGCTGGTTAGTATGCCACGTTCCAGTGCTTGATACAGGGTGGGTGTGGAGAATTCCGATATTCAGCAGCTTCTGAAGACAGTCAGTTTTGAGTCAGAGTGATGTTGTGTATGGCAGCTCCTATCTGACAGTTGTTTCTTTTTTCATACACAGAAGGTCCCAAAGAAACCAAGTGGCCACATTGAAACAGTGACTTTCTGATAACCGTTGTCTGGCATCCATAGAGAAGGATGTATGGTGCTATAAAAACAACACGAGCCTTTAGGCAATAGTATATATCTGTTCTTTACAGATGTAGGATGGTGATTCTGTCTACATGTTCTGTTTCCATGAGTTCTTTTGTCCCTCATCCATGTTATGCAGATGAATGGGTGACAGGATTTGCTTTGTGGGTAGTAAAGAGGGAAAATCTGAAGTGAATGAGATGAAAACTTGCTGCTGGGATGAGGAATGTTGCTGCAAATTCATTCTCAGTCTCGAAGAAATTATCCAGTGTCTGTGCTCTTGGGAGAAGAGATCTAAAATTTGGTAGAGGATATTAGAAGAATAAAAATAAAACGTCTGAATTGTTTCTTTGGGTGTTGTTTTATGTAAGGCAGACTTTTGAATTTTTGTGTGAGGTGTTCTCAATAGACCTGTGCTTTTATTCATGATCACTAAAATTATAAGTAGCTGGTGTTCATGGAAAACTTAACTTAAATTTTCAAGTTAGACTTGTGTTTATTCTCTTAGGGTCATTATTTCAGTGCCACATCTGCCATGGTTTACCCATGGTTTAAATTAATTTCTGACTGTAAATAGAAGAAAGTGATGCTGCTCACTACAGTATTGGGACTGTCCTCTTTAAAATCTTGCGTTTGACTATTAACGTATTTCACTATCCAAAAGATGATATAATGTAGAAAACAGGATTGTGATACTATGATTTACATGGCATAAAGAGTAATTGGCAAGTTGGAAGTTGTGATTGCAGCATAAAATAAAATCATTAATGGCATGATACAAACTGAAATACCAAGTCTTGAGGCTTTTCAAATCTAAGTTAAAATGTGGGTCTTCCATCTTTTGGTACAGTAAATAATTCTTTTGGCTCTTCAGATCTTCATCAGAACTGTCTATGCAGG